ATCCACTCACACAAGTTCCTCATTAGAAAACAACAAAAGAATTTTGAGTTGGTTCAAAACCAAAGATTATTGATGGAACGAAAAGTCACCCTCTTACCACTAGAAGTGCCTAATTTTGAAGATGAACTCATAGGGAGTAATTGGAATAATTGGCCACCTATCCAGCCCCTGTCAGCATTACGGTTGTCAAAGAATTCTATGCCAACCCAAGAATTTATTTGGATGACGCTAAAATGTTTATGAGCTACGTACGGGGAAAACACATTCCTTTTGATGCGGAGACCATCAACACATTCTTGAAGACTGAGTGCAAAAGGGGCAATGCACCATGCCAATTTGCCCAAATTTTGGAAGGTGACGTCGACTTTAGGGAGATTGAAAGGACTATATTCATTCTAGGTGGTAGGTTTCAAAGGAACAGGCAAGAACAACCTCTTAAAATCAAGAGATCCTTTCTCACCCCATTGGGCAAGCTGTGGATGTCTCTTATACATGTCAACCTCTCGTTGTATTTCCATGTATCCGACATCACCATTGGTAGTGCCATTAACTTATACTACATCCTTACAGGATGATCCATCAATTTTGGCAATATCATTTCTAATGAAATCAACCTTTGTGCCCATGCTGCAAGTGTCAAATCTCCTATTGGGCATCTATTTTTATCACTTATCTGTGCCAACTGGCAGGGGTTAACATCTCACCCCCCACATTTGAGAGGCCTCGCAAGGGAATTGATTTGGCATACTATGCCCAATATTGTTTGCTTCATGAAGAAGGTCTCCCCATCCCATCACCTCAACCTCCCAGGATACATCGTCGTCCTTAGCTAGTTTAACCTCTAGTTAATCCATATCAGATGATGGAGATGAGGATGACATTATGGATGCTAAACTTGAAGCGCTACACAGAAGCGATTTAGCTACAATTGAGATAATCAGGCACTTGTATTTTTCTTCTCTAGGCCTCAACTACATGTCTCCCAAAGAGTTTAATGCTCGAGTAGCATGGCCTAGGGACTAGGCCTACTCTACTAGGGGAGGTGGAGCTTCTGCCAAAGCTACAACTAGCAACCAAGCTAAAGAAGAGGAGGAAGCTTATGATGCTAAGGAGGAAGAAGATTCTAATGGGACTAGGGACATTGTATCTTGAGCTGTAGATGATCATGAATAGAGTCTTATTTTAATTTATTTTAGTTTGAATTCCATCTTAAATTTGTGTTAGTTTCCAAGTTTTAGATTTAAGTTCTTAGCTTTTGTGTTTTAACTTGCCTAATGGAAACTCTTCATGCAATTGGTTTGGTGATTTGAGTGAATCATATACTTTGCATAAATTGAAAATAAAATCTCTTATGCTTGCTCATTATCCATGTGAATTGCTTTGAAAATCTGATTGAGATGATGGTTTTTTAGCTTGTTGAACATAGATTGTGGTTGCTCTCATTTTTTTGGATATATGCTTGGTTTTTCTTGTGGTCAATATGCATGGAATTGTGTTTAACAAGTTATGGAACCCTGAACAAACTTGTGAGATGTTGTGCTCCAAATTGTTTTGTGAAGAGTTATCACTTTGGATCACAATTGATTTTGCTAGAGCTTCTCCTTTTGAATTATTCACTTGCTTGTTAGAAATTATCAAGGCCATTCTTTCTTCTCCCTCCTCTACAGTTGAGCCTAATAAGTCAATGCTAACCTTTTGAACCTGAAAAGAAAGACTTTCTCATTCCTAAAACCTTAAGCTTACTGAAAAATCTTTGACCTCCTTACCTTGACTTTAGTAGAGCATTCATTTCTGGTATAAGAGAATGGTTTAAGTTTGAGGGAGATCATGTTATACAGGAGAATTGAGAAAAACAAAAAGAAACAAGATAAAGAAAGAAAAGAAAAGTGAAGAGAAAGAAGAACAAGATAAGGAAAAAGAGTTCAATGAATGAAAGCTGAAAAAGAGTTGGGAATTGGTAACATTTGAATTGAAGCAAAAGAGAGATTTATGTTATGATGTTTTGATTTGTCTGCTCTCTTAACTCAAGGTGCTTTGTATCTAGAAAAACCAAATTTCCTTCTTAGCCCAACCACAATACAAGCCTTTAAAGTCCTTGTGATGCTAACTAGCATTTGAATGTGTTTATTTTGGTTGAAACGAAGGGCAAAATTGATTTGTGTGACATTGTGATGGTAGAGTGAAAGACATACATCCCTATACACCAATGAGTTTGAGTAAAACACTTTCTTTGGCGAAGAATGGTTCCATGCATTTAAGGAAAACATTTTTCCATGTCTGTTGATCCCTCATAAAGCCTTTGCATCATCAAAATTTCTGTTCTTCAGCTTTATGCTAACACTTTTCAAATTTCCCACCTTGTCTACTAGTTAATTAATAAATAATAAATTATCTAATTTTACATTCTAAAATTTAATAAGTCGAGTTTGCGTATTGATCCTAGGTTATCCCTATATTACATTAGTGAGGAATCTAGTTTGTTGACTTTTTGTGCGGCTAAAAAGTGTTTCAATAGGTTATCTCTCAAAGAAGGATATATANGGTTTTTTAGCTTGTTGAACATAGATTGTGGTTGCTCTCATTTTTTTGGATATATGCTTGGTTTTTCTTGTGGTCAATATGCATGGAATTGTGTTTAACAAGTTATGGAACCCTGAACAAACTTGTGAGATGTTGTGCTCCAAATTGTTTTGTGAAGCGTTATCACTTTGGATCACAATTGATTTTGCTAGAGCTTCTCCTTTTGAATTATTCACTTGCTTGTTAGAAATTATCAAGGCCATTCTTTCTTCTCCCTCCTCTACAGTTGAGCCTAATAAGTCAATGCTAACCTTTTGAACCTGAAAAGAAAGACTTTCTCATTCCTAAAACCTTAAGCTTACTGAAAAATCTTTGACCTCCTTACCTTGACTTTAGTAGAGCATTCATTTCTGGTATAAGAGAATGGTTTAAGTTTGAGGGAGATCATGTTATACAGGAGAATTGAGAAAAACAAAAAGAAACAAGATAAAGAAAGAAAAGAAAAGTGAAGAGAAAGAAGAACAAGATAAGGAAAAAGAGTTCAATGAATGAAAGCTGAAAAAGAGTTGGGAATTGGTAACATTTGAATTGAAGCAAAAGAGAGATTTATGTTATGATGTTTTGATTTGTCTGCTCTCTTAACTCAAGGTGCTTTGTATCTAGAAAAACCAAATTTCCTTCTTAGCCCAACCACAATACAAGCCTTTAAAGTCCTTGTGATGCTAACTAGCATTTGAATGTGTTTATTTTGGTTGAAACGAAGGGCAAAATTGATTTGTGTGACATTGTGATGGTAGAGTGAAAGACATACATCCCTATACACCAATGAGTTTGAGTAAAACACTTTCTTTGGCGAAGAATGGTTCCATGCATTTAAGGAAAACATTTTTCCATGTCTGTTGATCCCTCAGCCTTTGCATCATCAAAATTTCTGTTCTTCAGCTTTATGCTAACACTTTTCAAATTTCCCACCTTGTCTACTAGTTAATTAATAAATAATAAATTATCTAATTTTACATTCTAAAATTTAATAAGTCGAGTTTGCGTATTGATCCTAGGTTATCCCTATATTACATTAGTGAGGAATCTAGTTTGTTGACTTTTTGTGCGGCTAAAAAGTGTTTCAATAGGTTATCTCTCAAAGAAGGATATATAAAGAGGACTCGCTGAAGAGAAAAAAAAATAATCAAGACAACAATTCATTGAATCCTTATGCTGCTTCTTTTTTCAAGCTTATATAGTCTAAATCTTTCTTTGAAAGAGAAAGGGTCTTTCCAAGTTTTCATATTTCATTATACTAAATATATCCTTTTTTGGAGAGTCGTTTGAATTTGTACTTGTAAACCAAAAACACTTTGATTGTGTTTATAGATTCAGAAGTGAATTCAAACATTTGTATTGTTTGACTCAGTGGAGTTAAACATTCTAGACATGTTGTCTAGTGTGGATACCAAGAGTGATTAAACTCATCTAGTCAGGTTGACTAGTGTTATAACTTGGAGTGGTTGATCATACTCATTGTATATTATGAGTGATTTGTACTTGTTGTAATTTTGTCAAAGATTAGTGAGACTCTTTAAGAGGTCTTAAGGAAAAACTTGACGTAACTCAAGTTGGAACGAACCCATATAAAAATACTTGTGTTATTGTTTTTCTTCTTTAAAATGTTTTCCTAAATACTTTATTAAACATAGAGGCGTCTAACAACTATTATAGTTCGTCTAACTCATACAATTGTCATTAAGAGCTAATTTACAAAAAGGTTTAAAACACTATTTTTAAAGCCCTCCTTCTAGTGGTGTATTTCATCAATTAAGAGAATCTAACAATAATACATCCAATATATTAATACACTAATTTATATTTTTAGCAAGTGTATTCTACATATTTTATATATTTTAGAGAGTCAACTTTTTATTTTTTACACATATTTTATCTTTTTGTATTTTAACAAATTCTACTATTTATATTTTTCAAATATATTAATTTTCTAAACCTATAAATCATTTTTCATATTTATTCTATTAAAAACTTAATTATAAATTTACAAATATTTATTATTTTTCTTTTCAATTTTTAAATCTCTTTTAATAAAAACACAAGCGAATTTACAGATAATTTAAAACTAGTTTGATATAAACTAAGTTTAAAATTTAAAGATATTTATTTATACAAGCAGGCCTTATTTTTGGTTTTGTTCTAATTCCAAAAGATGTCAGCTCCAGTTTTCATCCCCATTCAATTTATACAACAAATTTTCAATATTAGTGTAATTTAATTTTGTATTGGCAAAATTTTCTGATTAATGGAATTAAGAACTTTTGCTTTTTGAAACACCGTGTTAGAATAAAATAAATCAAATGTTTGATAAAGTATTTTTCGCAGTAGAACGAAATGCCTTTTCCTATCTTATCTTTTTGAGATAACATTAGATCTTTTTAACTCACTCTTTCAATATATATTAAAAAGCTTGTAGCAAAAGGACAAGGAAAATCTCATACTCACATCAAATTTTTCTTGTTATCTGAAACCAATGAAATCAAATCCTTCACAGCAACACAGAAGGGAGAGAGAAACATAGGAATATGGCAACCCATCTGAATCATGTGTTCAGAACTTCAATTCTGAAGCACAAAACACAATCAGAGACCCCTTTGAGAACCTCACGAAGAACCCCAAGATTTGAAGTGATCAATGCAACAACATCTTCCACCAGCAGTGCAAGGCAGCTCATAGAGTCTGGCACAGTGAGGCCTATATTGACCAAAGATGCTTCCTCAGCAATAAACTCAGAGGGCTTTATTCTGCTTGATGTTAGGCCATATTGGGAGAGAGAGAAGGCACGTGTGACAGGGTCTTTGCACGTGCCAATCTTTGTCGAAGACAAGGATAACAGCCCTATAACTTTACTTAAGAAGTGGGTGCATTTTGGGTACATTGGGTTGTGGACTGGCCAGTACCTCACTACTGTGAATTCTGAGTTCCTTAGTCAAGTGGAAAAAGCCGTTCCTGGTAAGGACACAAAGCTTCTTGTGGCATGTGGAGAAGGATTGAGGTAAGTATAATGGAAGAAAGTTTTATTTTTATAAAATATACAGCTATTTAGTTGTATCAAATTATTATATTAGCCTTGAACTTTGGATAGACACATATTTCTTCTCATTTCTTGCACTTAATTAAGTTGTTCCTGTTCTTAATGAGGAATTCAGTTAATTTTTATGGTAATCATCTTACTGGATATATTTGTTTTTCTTGCTTGTTTTCCATATGTAAAATTAAGATGCACAAGATTATAAAGGAGAATATTAATTTGTTGGTTTTGGTGAGTGATTCAGGTCAATGACAGCAGCTTCAAAACTGTGTAATGGAGGTTACAAAAATCTGGGATGGTTGGCTGGTGGATTTAATCGTTCAAAGGACAATGACTTCCCATCAGCAGAAGGAAAAGAGAAGTTGCAGTATGCTACAATTGGGGGAGTTTCTTACATATTCCTTCAGTTGCTCATATTTCTAAAGGCTGTGGGATAAGGAGTTATTTTGACACCTTTTAATGTTGTTCATGTGCAACTTTTGAATAAGCCTCTGTAGCCTAGTTACAACTACATCTTCTTCAACTTCCATATAAAGTATGACGTTTTGCAGTTTTGTAGATAGTTATGCAAGTTCCCTGTTTGATACAATTGCAGAAGTAGCTTGTCATTTATCATTGCCAATATTAAATCTCTTGTTTTGGTATCATAGAGTGAACATTCCAATTTATTTTATGAATTTCCTAATCTATGTTTACTAAATAGCTAATTTTGGTTTATTTTTCATTATGAAAATGTTGGCAATGTAATTTTTTTTTCCGGAAACTGAAAAATTTCTTGCAGAAATCATTAAGGTGAAACCTGAGTTTGAGTTATGGATTCTGGACGAGAAACAACTTAGCTGTTGGAGTATTCGGATTCTCTTATATCATAATGATATATAAGCTGGGAAGGTCGTAAAAATTAATAAATAATTAATTGAAAACTGAGTGACAATTAGTGGGTGGATTTTGGACTGTCAAATGGCTTAATTGTGTTAGGTTTTCGCAACTAGGGATTCAAGTATGAGAAAGATAATATGGAAGATATGATATAATAGGAAAGAGATATTATATATATATATATAATATATATATATCCTATATGAAAAATTTAACAATGTAATTTAAGTATTTTAAATAATTTATTTTAACTTTAAAATAAATAAATTTAATGATATTTTTTTAATATTAGAAGTTTGTGGGTTTTTGTCTAAAATGTCTCCAAGTTAAGGATTTGAATACTAGATCCATGTATCTCCTTAGACTTTATCTCTTCTAGGCCAAAAATCATACACTACAACCTGATATCCAAACACAAGGTTCAAAAGAAATTTTAGACTTTAGCCTATTATATAAGATTAAAGTAAATCTAAATCTACTAAGAATTCACTAATAGTCCATGATAATAAGAGTTTAGGTTCATCTTCCACATCTAACTCCAACTCTTCTTGAGTATGCAATCATGGTAGGGAGAATGCCTCAATCCTTTATTACCAACTTGCTAACTTCTTACAATTTGTAGTTTCCAAGTCCTAGGTACAAACTATTGTGTGTGATAATCAACTTCATTTGGAGTGTGTTTTGGGGGGGGGTTGCGGGTGGGGGGGTGGGGGGGGGGGGGGGGGGGGGTGGGGGGGCGGGGGGGTCGGTTGGGGGGGGGGGGGGGGGGGGGGGGGGGTGGGGGGGGGGGGGGGGGGGGGGGGGGGTGGGGGGGGGGGGGTGTGGGGGTGGGGGGGCGGGGGGGGGAGGGGGGGGGGGGGGGGGGGGGAGGGGGGGGGGGGGGGGGGGGGGGGTGGGGGTGAGGGGGGCGGTGGGGAAGTGAGGGGGGGGGGGGGGGGGGGGGGGGAGGGGGGGGGGGGGGGGGGGGGGGGTGGGGTGGTTGGGGGGGGGGGGTGGGGGGGGGGGGGCGGGGGGTGGAGGTGGGGGGGGTGGAGGGGGGGGGGGGGGGGGTGGGTGTGGGGGGGGGGGTGTGGGGTGGGGGGTGGGGGGGTGGGGTGAGGGGGGGTGGGAGGGGAGGGGAGGGGGGTGGGTGGGGGGGGGGGGTTGGCGGGGGCGCGGGGGGGGTGGGGGGGGGGGCGGTGGGCTGTGGAGTGGGGGTGGGTGGGGTTGGGGGGGGGGGGGTGGGGGGGGGGGGGGGTGGGGGGAGGGGGGGGTGGGGTGGGGGGGTTGGGGGAGGAGGGTGGGGGGGGGGGGTGGTTGGGGGTGAGAGGAGTGGGGGGTGGGGGGGGGGGGGGGTTGGTCGTGGGGAGGGCGGGGTGGGGGGGGGGGGGGGGGGGGGGGGGCTTGGGGGGTGGGGGGGGGGGGGGGGAGGGGGGGAGTAGTGGTTAGGGGGGTGGGGGGGGGGGTGGGGGGGGGGGGGGGGGGGCGAGGGGGGGGGGGGGGGGGGGGGGTGGTGGTGGGAGGGGGGGGGGGGGGGGGGGGGGTGGGGGGGGTGGGGGGGGGGGGGGGGGGGGGGTGGGGGTGATGGTGGGGTGGGGGGGAGGTGGGGCTGAGGTGGCGTGGGGGGTGGGGGGGGGGGGGTTGGGGGGTAGGGGAGGGGGTGGAGAGTGGGTAGGGGGGGGGGTTAGTGGGGGAGGGGGGGGGGGTATGGGGGGGGGGGGGGGGGGGGTGGGAGGGTGTGGGGGGGGGTGGGGGGGGCGGTGGGCGGGTTGGGGGTGGGGGGGGGGGGGGAGGGGGGGGGGGGGGTGGGGGGGGGGGGGGGGGGGGGGGGGTTGTGGGGGGGGGGGTGGGCGGGGGGGGGGGGGGGTGGGTGGGGGGGGGGGGGGGGGGGAGGGGGGTGTAGGGGGGGGGGAGGTGTGGGGGGGGGGGGGGTGTGGGGGGGGGTGGGGGGGGGGGGTGGGGGGGGGGGGGGGGGGGGGGGGGTGGGGGGGGGGGTGGGTGGCGTGGTGGGGGGGGGTGGGGGGGGGGTGGGAGTGGGGGTTGGGGGGGTGGGGGGGGGGAGGGGGGGGTGAGGGGGGGGTGGTGGGGGGGGGGGGTGGGGCGGGGGGGGGGGGGTGGTTATGTGGGGGGTGGGGGGGGGGTGGTGGGGGGGTGTGGGGGGGTTGGGTGGGGGGTGGTGGGTGGGGGGGGGGGGGGTGGGGGGGGGGGGGGGGGTTTGTAGGGGGGGGGTGGGGGGGTGGGGGGGGGGGGGTGGGGGGGGGGGTGGGGGTGGTGATGTGGGGGTGGGGGGGGGTGGGTGGGGGGTTGGGTGGTGGGGTTGGGGGGGGGTGGCGGTGGGGGGTGGTTTCGTAATGCCTTGACGCTTATGCAATGACTATTTGTTCTCGCATCAATAATAACCTAAACTTTGTCTTGATGCATCACAATTAAACTTCAAGCTGCTTCTTTGGATTTAGGTTAGAATTAAATTGATTTTGTTTTTTTTTATGCATGAGAATCTTTTTAAATTTTCGAAAAAATTAGCTTCACAAACATTCATTCCTATCAATTCTTGTTTCTTTTTACTTAACTGGTTAGCGGTTTTAAAGATAAACAAGAAAATGATGTAATAAACTTTCACATTAATGTAATACCAAAAAACTTTAAATTTGGTTGGAGTTGTTGTCATTCATGTTAGAAAGG